CATTAAAGTAGGCTGAGCTCTGACATTTGAAAACCTCATTTTTAGTAGCTTTAAAGAATTCCCCAATCCTCGCTTAGTACATATAGATTTTCCAAGAGCATTTAAATTTAAACACTTGGACTGGACAATTTGAGAAGCAATCGACTGTAGCACATTTATATGAAGTTTGGATTACAATCAATCTAATCCCGACACACAGAAGTTGGTAGCAAAATATTACCTTAAAGTCTGAATGCTAGAGCAGAAAACATTGGTCTCACGATGCATGAAATCAACTAATATGTCGGTGGCAATGCAAGAGAGAGTGTTCCAATTGATTTTGGCCTTCTTCATTGTTTTTCAATTTTTCTTTTTCTACCTACATATCCTGCACTGCCATTCCATTTGTGATAGGAAGAGAAGAAGAAGAAGATTTTACCGCCGATCACCGATCATCGGTCTCCCAACTTGGTTGCTGTGATTTGATGCTAAAAGACTGTGAGAGGGGAATTTGAATGGAGGAGGTTGTCATTTTTCACTTTTTTGTCTCTTAGTGGTTGTTTGGACCAGCCTTAATAGAGCAATTTCGTTAAATTCCTTTTAGCTTAATAAGGTGATGTGCTCATTTTTCATTTGCAGGTGCACGCTTTTTGTGAACCTAAATCCACAGAATTTGAGCTCGTTTTTGGGTCGGTTAGTACTTTTTAGGTGCTGTTGGTTTTTCTTTTGGTCATTCATCCCTGTAAATGCAATTATTTGAGTGAGTGCATTTACTTATGTTATTTTATTTCCTAGGTAAGTGAGATAATGACCATTTGACCCTTAAAACGACAAAGTTAGAAAGGATAATATTATCTCATCATGTGTTGTTAATTTTTCCCTAAGTTACTCCCTTAAGAAGGATAACTAGGGAAAATGACTTTTACATTGGATTCACATGAATTAACAAAAAAATGGGAAAAATGATCAATGAAAACTACAATCCCATTGGCTGGCTTTCCTCCTTCATAATCTGAAAAACAAATGGAGCGTTATTTGAGAGAACAAAACGATCAAACCAAATGGCCCGTTATGTAGGGATTGACAAGATTGATTTTGGTTTTGGTTTTCTTTCATTGAGATTTGATAACGACCAAAAGTCTCAGTATCTAAACTGGTATCTTGAATGAATGACACGCGCAAAGAAAATATTTTATTTCTGCATATATATAGATATAAGGCTAACTGATTTTGGACAAGTGGGAGGCCACGTGGCCTATTTACAAAGTTGTTGTAACAGCCTATGTTTTGGCTAACACCCCCCTCTCAAGTTGGATGTGGGAAGCAACGCCCAACTTGGATAATAGCTGTTGAAATCAATCTGCATTGAGAGTTTTGATAAGGTCAGCTGGCTGAAGGGCTCCAGAAATATGGAAGGTCTGAATTTCCTTCTTCTGGATATATTCGCGTACAAAATGACAATCAATGTCAATGTGTTTCGTACGCTCATGAAAAACTGGATTGGCTGCAATGTGTATTGCGGCCTTGCTATCACAATAGAGATGCATGGGTGCTAGAAGGGTAATTGTAAGATCGGCAAGGATCCTCTTAAGCCACAAAAGTTCGCAAGTAGCAACAGTCATTGCCCGATATTCGGCTTCTGTAGAGGAGTGTGAAATTGTATATTGTTTCTTAGTATTCCAAGAAAGTGGTGAGTTTCCAAGAAAGGTGGTATATCCGGTGGTTGATCGCTGAGTGATTGGACAGCTAGCCCAATTAGAGTCACAGTAACCTTGAAGCTGGAAGTCATTATGTGATGATAGAAATAGTCCATGTGCCGGGGTGGCCTTGAGGTAGTGAACAACATGAAGGGCAGCATCCAAGTGTTCCTGACGAGGATCTTTCATGAACTAACTAAGAGAGTGTACTGCAAAGCTTAACTCGGGTCGAGTGACTATAAGATAGACCAATCGACCCACTAAACGCCTGAACCGGGCAGGGTCAGAGATGGGCGGACTAGAGTCATCATGAAAATGCTTTTGTTGTTCCATAGGAGTTGGGCTTGATTTACAGTCAATCATGCCTGCTTCAGTAATGAAGTCAAGGATATACTTATGTTGATTGAGGAAGATTCCATCAGTAGTTCTGGAGACTTCAATGCCCATGAAATAATGTAAGGGCCCAAGGTCCTTTGTCTTGAAGCAACTGTTTATGTGGCTTTTAAGAGAAGCAATGCGAGCTGGATCATTCCCGGTGACGATCAGGTCATCCACATACACAAGGACAACAATGTATGAGTTGGACTGGTGTGATGTGAATAAGGAATAGTCGGCCACTGACTACTGGAAACCAATGTCAATGAGAGCTTGTGTAAATTTTGCGAACCATTGCCGTGAAGCCTGCTTAAGGCCATAGAGTGACTTATTTAACTTGCAAACACGATGATCATTATAGGTAAGAAAACCGAGAGGGGGCGTCATGTAGACTTATTCATGGAGGTCTCCATGTAGAAAGGCGTTGTTGACATCCAACTTGTGCAATTCCCAACATTTTGCGGCGAAAACCGCAAGTAGACAACGCATAGTCACCAATTTTGCAATAGGAGCAAAGGTATTATGATAATCCAATCCTTCAACCTAAGTGTAGCCCTTTGCTACAAGACGTGCTTTGTAGCGAATTATGGACCCATTTGGCTTTAACTTCAATTTATAGACCCATTTGCAGCCTATGGCCCATTTTCCAGAAAGGAGATTTGTTAAGGTCCAGGTATTGTTACGGTCCAATGCTACAAGCTCGTCAGCCATGACTACCTGCCAATGAGGGCATTTGGCAGGTTAAGAATACATTGTAGGTTTAGGGGGATGATGGGATGTAGGGGTGAATAGGGCATGGTGGGCCGTGAGAGATGTAGGGAGGTCACACACAAAGTCTTGTTGATGTGATGGGAGGTGGCGTATGCGAGTGGGACGAGAATTAATGGGGCCATCAATAGCATGATTGTGATCAGGCCCATTATTTGTGTCTTGACATGCGATGGGACTGTTATTGTCTATAATGGGTTCAATAATGCTCTCATGCACATGGTGTCCATCACTATGTGAAGGAAGATCACATCCATCATCAAGTTGAGGCATAGGAGTTATAGTAATTTCAGTTTGAATCAATAGTCGGTGTTGCAGCAAATGGAAAAACAGATTCATAAAAAACTACATCCCGTGATGTGAATATCTATTTAGTGTCGAGGTTGAACACCTTGTACCCTTTTTGACCGTGTGGATAGCCAATGAACACACATCGGGTTGAACGAGCAGCAAATTTGTCTTGGGGAATCAATCTGATTTGAGCATAATATAAGCAGCCAAACACCCTGAGGTAGTTGTAGTTAGGGGGTCGAAGATGAAGCTTCTCATATGGAGACTTTCCTCCCAACAAGGGTGTCGGTGTGATGTTGATGAGATAGCTTGCTGTAATAAGGCACTCGCCCCAAAAGGAAATAGGTAAGCATGCTTGAAAGCGAAGAGCACGAGAAACTTCTAATAGGTGTCGATGTTTGCGTTCGGCAACACCATTTTGTTGTGGTGTGTCAACACAAGACTGCTGTTAGATGATGCCTTTCTGCTGAAAAAAAATCTTGCAATGGGCCAGACATGAATTCTAGGCCATTGTTAGATCGAACCTGCTGAATTGAGTATTTAAATTGTGTTTCCACCATTGCACAAAAAAAAGTGAGGTAATGAAAAACTTCAGATTTATACCTCATGAGAAACGTCCAAGTACATCTAGTGTAATTATCTACTATAGTGAGAAAGAAATGAGCATTAGTGTGAGACGAGGTTTTATAACCACCCCATATATCACAATGTATCAATCGAAATGGACAAGTAATATGAATATGACTAATTGGAAACTGACTTCTTGTCTGCTTGGCACGGTGGCAAGCATCACAACATACATAAGAGGGAGAAGGAGAGAGTTCAGGTAGCAAAAACATACAAGACTTGGAAGCGTGACCGAGGCGCTTATGCCACAATTCATAGGATAATGCTAAGCTGGTAAGATAAATTGAGGTGGGAGGAGAAAAACAAATGTAGTAGAGACCATCTCAGAGTTCACCCATTCCAATCGTGATCTTTGAGATTGGGTCTTGTATGTTGCAATGAGTAGAGAAGAAAGAAACAACAGAACATGACTGTTGAGTCAATTTACTGACTGAAATTAAATTGCAAGTAAAAGTTGGAACATGCAATACATCACAAAGAGAAAGACTAGAAGTGAAGGAAATTGTGCCATGGTGTGTAACAGAGGTAGTATCACCCGTGGGCAAATGTACATATTTTGGAGTAGGTAAAGGAAAGTAATACGAGAATAGAGACATGTCAGAGACAATGTGGTCGAATGCACCACTATCAAGTATCCATTCTACAGAAGAGATAGAGACGATTTTACCAGAAAGATTGGCTGAGATATCAGTTGAATCTTTATTGAGAGAAATCAATTGATTGTACTGTTGCAGAGACAATCCAATAACAGGGGATTCTTGGCCAGAAAGTTGAAGGAGCAATGGTCATTGTGTATGAAGTTGCTTTGTCTGATTCGGCCTGATCTTGCAGAGGATGAGCATTCTTGTCAGTTCCGGGAGGTCAATGGTTCCAACCAGGAGGATATCCATTGAGCTCGTAACATTTGTCATTTGTGTGACCTTGGCATTTACAGTGATCACAGTAAGGTCTGTTTTGCTTAGAAGTACGAGTTTGAGGTTTGGAAGCAACATGGAAAGCTGCAACATCAAGAGCCGATGATCCTCTCAAGGAAATAGTTAATTGGTGTTGCTCCTCCTGGATAACTAAGGCATAGATTCGATTGATAGGTGGTATGGTATCGGATCCAAGAATCTGTGAGCGATGCATGTTGAAGGAATCTTTCAGTCCCATGGGGAATTGATGAATCTTCCTCCTTTCCCGGTTAGCCAGAAATAATTTCACAGCACCATAGTTCAGACCACAGGTACATTCAGGTAGGTCGGTGAGTGTTGCTAGCTCGTCCTAGAGAATTTTCAACCTTGTAAAGTATGTAGCTACAGAGAGATCTCCTTGCTGAAGCAAGGCAAGATCTCGCTCAAGTTGATAAATGCGTAGAACATCACTCTGGCCAAACCTTTCTTGCAACTCACGCCAGATTTCCTCTGCAGATTCAATGAAGGCTATGCTGTGGTGGATTTCCTTTTCTTCTGAGTTTAGGATCCAAGAAATGACCATTGAGTTACATTTGTCCCAAATCTCTTCTTCTGGTGAGGATGACAGTGGTCGTGGCAATGAACCATCGACAAACTTGTATTTGTTCTTAGCTCTAAGTCCGGTCTTCATTGCTCGTTGCCAGGTGTGAAAATTATCACCAGTGAGTAGATCAGAGACAAGAATCAATCCCGGATTATCAGATGGATGGAGATAGAACGGCGAGCTTGTTGTGTCCGTTCTGGCCTCCATGGACAAATTTTGATGCAGGACGCTTGATTCTTGCTCCGACGCCATTGGTGAGTTTTGATGCAGAGGAAAGAAAGAAAAAAGGGAAGACAGAAGGTAAACGAAAGCACATATCTGGCTCTGATACCATGTAAACTGGTATCTTGAAAGAATGACACGCACAAAAAAATATTTTATTTATGTATATATATATATATATATATATATATATATATAGATAGATAGATAGATAGATAGATAGATAGATAGATAGATAGATAGATAGATAGATAGATAGATAGATACAAGACTAACTGATTTTGGACAAGTGGGAGGCCATGTGGCCTATTTACAAAGTTGTTGTAAACACCTATGTTTTGGCTAACATAGTAAGTCAGTAAGAACTCCGGAACAACTTAGAGGAAGGCAGGGTACCTACAACGAGTAAACAAGTAAGAGGACCCTGGGTGATATCCTAAGCTTGTAATTCCAACGAGCAAGTCAATGATCAGTCGAGCTTTTGGATGTGTATTAAATACCAGTAAATGTGATAAAAATGTATGTAATGAATGCAAAACTAACCTTTATACAGGTTAGAGATATATATGTTGGAGAGGTGTAGGACACACCTGATGATGGGGCAAGACATTTGGTGATAGGGCAAGACACCCGGAAGTGAAGTGGGACACGTTTAGGTGATTCATGCGTAAAGGAAGCCTATGGCCCACCGACTGATAGGATAGGCAAGTATGATAATTGCATTGTCCAGTGGGGTTATTTCTGCATATATGTAGTGAAGCTCGGGTGTACTTTTTATAATGTAGTTTGTGGGGTGTATTTTTTCTAACGTAGTTCGTCTCGATGAAGTGTGTTTTCTTACTCATGCAAATCAATTCGTAAGCCGAATTGCCCTTCCCTGCTACCCACTATACCTATTATGGGTCAGGTAGTCCGACGGCCTGACCTGGCCTGGCCCGATTTAAGTTGGGTTTGGATAAGATTTTAGGGCTACGGGCTTGGATTTGCGCTTAAAATATTAGGTCTAAATTTTTTCGGGTTAGACTTGGGATTTTTCAGAAAAGCCCGGCCCGAGTCCGAGTTTGACTTGATAATGTATTATTAATAAAAATATATTTATATAATAAAAAAGCATATATATAATATATTTTTCTTTTTTTTTTCAAATAATAATGAGACTTTTCATTATTTTTTTAAGTTTTAAGACCTTTAGTATAAATAAAACAGTTTTTAATTTAATTAAAATGGAAAAAAATCTTTTTTTTTCCAAATTTCTAACCAGGCTTGGGTTCGGGCCTGGGCTTCGGGCTTTGGACTTTATATGAGAACTAGGTTTGGACTCAAAACCTAAAACCAATGATTGAACCGAACTCGAGCTCGACCTGAACATATTCTATTGATGTAAAAACAAAACACGGCCCGACCCGTGTACTACCGAGTACCGACTAGGTAGTCGATGTACTACAAGCGTTGGTCATCCGAGGTGAGGATGTGTCCACCGAGGCAGCCATACGTCACTTTTACCTCCATCAACATTAAAGCCCAATTCCCAAAGTCTTTATAGAATCAGATCAGGCTGTTACCTAAGCCAGCCAGTTGACACCTTCCTTGCGAAAACACCAATATACTAAATAAAATTGAAAACACGTCTCATCTGTTTCTATTTTGTTTCCACTTTCCTTCCATCGCTGGCCTGTTTTTTAATTGCAACGGTAGATTAGATATGCCCCGGTTGTGTGATGGCGAAATTATTAATTAGGTGGGCCCCACCACTGGATGGGGCGCTGCTTCCTTAGTTCCTTGTCTGAAAACAAGAAAAATAAATAAATAAACAAAGTCATTCATTCAATAAAAACAAGTGGACATCTTCGAAAAATCCGATTCCAGTTAAACAATTTGCACGGTTTCTGTCGTTTCAGACCAAACGCACTCCAACTACAACTAGGCGTCTAGACCCGATTTTTCATAGTTTAATAAATGGTAGGCATTTAATTGTTTAATTTTTATTCATTACTAAAATTATACATGATTATCTAGTACATGTGTTGCATGTGAGATATTTTTCTTCATATTAATTACTTAAATTTTACTTAAAAAATAATAATATGATTAAAAATAAATTTAAATACTTGTAGTAATGTGTGTGTGCATTAGGGGTGTTCATGGGTCAGGTTGGGTCGGTTAGAGTCATTTTCTTTAACCAACTCGACCTAGTCGATTTACTCATTGATTAAACCAAAACCGACCCAAACATGAAGGGTCGGTTTGGGTTGGTTTATTGGTTTAGTCGGTTTTTATATATATTTTAAAATAAAATATCTATTATATTTAAGTTTTTCTTTTTAGTTTTTATGAAAAATCAAAATATATATTTAAATCGATTACATTTTTATGCAAAACTGATTTTTTTTTTTACAAAACTGAATTAAATATTGTACCATTGTATTATATTTGTATTGGTTTTATGTTTTTAGTTTTTATCATAAATAACCAATTTAGTTTTTCAAAGTTCAAACAAACACAAATAAAATATATCAACCTTTGACATATAGGATAGGGACGAATTAATAATTACTTAAACAATTAAACATATAGGACCAGTTCAGTTTGACATGAAAATCGAAACCAAACCGAATTGTCAATTTATTTTTTCATACAAATCGAAATCGACCGGTGGTTTTAAAAAACCGACCAACTTAGGTTGGGTTTGGCCGATTTGGTCAGTTTGACATTTAATGTGAACACCCTTGGTGTGCATTTCAAATGGAAGTTTTAAATTACAACAACAACAACAACAACAACAACAACAACAACAACAATAATAATAATAATAATAATAATAATAATAAGTTTTGTATTATTATTATTATTATTATTAAGTTTTGTATTCCATTTGTCATAAATAAACATATTTTTATTTTAACAATTATTTTATTTAATATGATGAATATATAACATTAGAAATATTCTCAAGTGTTTTTGTCAAAATATTGTACTTTTTCATTTTTTTTGTGTTCTATCTTTTTTTTTAATATTTACTATTCAACTATGACATCATGATTTTCCTTAAAAAGTTGGATCATTGACCCACAATCTAGATAGGAAAATAGCTTTTCTTTTCGATCAGTTTTAAATTATATATTTCATCTACATTATATAAATAACTTTTACTTATCACGCTTAATTTGCATTTGACATAATTAATATATAATTTTGTATATATTTTTTGATTACTTGTACTTTTTTATATTGTTAAAGATTTATTATTTAACTATCATATCATCGATTGATTCATTTGACCCAAACCACTAACCCACACCCCAAAAAGAAAAGGTTTGATTTCTAGGATTACATTAAATTTTGCATTACATTTCCATCATTGGTAAAATTATTTCGTATGTTTAATACTTATTTTTGTTATTTTACCAAAAACTACTTATTTTTGTTCAATATACTGAATGCATAATATTAGAGATTCACCCAATATTTTACTTTTATAAAAATATAACATTAGATATGTGACCAAATTTATCTCTATATTTTTTTTGTAATTCTTTATATTTTCTATTTTTAAAAATTTTATTTTTGACAATGACATCATTTCATCTCTAGGTTGATTTTAAATTTGGCATTCCATTTTCATCATTAATAAAAGTAATTCTTACATTTCATACTTGTTTCTATTTAGTATAATGAATATACAATATTAGAGATATACCTAGTTCTTTTTATTTTTTGTCTTATATATTTTATTTATTATTATTTTTTTATTATTTAATTATGACATTATTTATTAACCCATTTGACCCCAAATGGTTGAATTTCTTACCCACCACTAGGAGGGAAGAAAATGTTTTTTTTTCAAAATATTTATTTTTATACTATTAAAATTAATGTTGTGGATTTAGTTAGTAGAATTTAATGATAAAATTTATATCTTAAATATAGGATTTGATGGAGGACGATTTGACCCGACCTATGAAACGGTGACACGTGGACACTGACTCAGCACGAGCGACAGCTTAGCATTGTAGCCTAGTGCGACCAAGTGACGGGCCCATAAAGTAGCTCGCTACACTATAGCTCACAAAAGGAGAAGCTCGCCACAACGCAAGCTCCGGGTTCCCCGAGCTACCTTTGAAGGGATACTCCGAGGCAACTTTAGCTTGCGAGCTAGGGGAACTAGCTCGCCTGAGCTCCCAAGCAGACAAGTCATCCCAAGGACCAATTTTATTAAGGGTAATCCTAAAGTGTTCCGAGCTCGCTACAAAGTAGCTCGCGAATGAGCTGCATGAGCGCTCCTCAGGAAGCTTCTATCTGACAGGACGTACTGATCAAATTGCGCCACGTCCCTTACAGACGGCACAGTCCCTGTCCTTTCGACAGTCTGCGTCCACGTCTCTCAGCAGGTGGAGGCGTGCCTGCCATTTTGGAGACGTGTCACTCACCCAGGTGAGAAGTTCGTCACAACGGCCACCTACGTAGCCCTGGCAGGTAACGGCTGTGGCAGGAGCCCAATGGCGGTTTTGCCCGACCTGACATGGACACCCCAATAAAAGCCCTCAGGGCAGAATTCTTGAGACTTCTAATCTCTCGAGTATAGTGATAACGCGCTATCTACACTCTTGACCTTCGTCTTCTCCTTGCTTCTCCTATAGAGTACTAACTTAAGCATCAGAGTGTTCGCGTCGGGCAAGCCCCCGGGGATTCTTCTTCTTCTTCATCTTAGATATCTTCCAGGAGCCACGTGAGTGCCAGCTAGGAGTGACCGGATCGCGCTCATCAGGATTTAATGAGAGAATATATAGGAAAATAGTTTTATTTCCAATTGGTTTTAAATTTTACATTCCATTTCCAACATTAATAAAAACATTTCTTATTTATAATACTTATTATTGTTTAATATGTCAAATATATGATGTTAAAAATGTTCCCAATTTGTTTCTTTAATTTCTATATTCTTTTCATTTTATGTATTTTTGAATTTTATTATTTAATTGTGGCAACATGGATTTTTATTTTAACAAATATTTTTATTTAATATGATGAAT